ATAAGCATATTCCTTAGGAGATAAGGATTACAACAATAAAGGGGATGATTATCCTAATCCTATAATGATTAGGATAACTACAACATATGGATAAATACAAGGGAGGATAGTGACTGATGCTTGGCCGCCTGGTATGGTACTGATGTGGTCTGGTCCATTTCCGGATATGTCCCAACCACCATCTTCATTTCTTAACAAGTGTATATTAATTTATCGAATATTAATTTATAGAGGTTCTACTGTATACCTGAAACACCTCGGAGCGATTGGTGGAGGAAGTGGTAGAGTCACCGAAGAAAACAAGATCAGGACAATATAGCCGGAAAACAGAAGGAGTGAAGGCTTGAATCTGTCTTCGCCACTGCCACATGGCTGATGGGCCGAAGCCGTGGAGGAGAAGCATCACCGGTCTTGCATCGACTTTATGGTCTAGAGATGATGGACCCCAGAAGTGGATGGTTGTTTCAGAATCTATGGAAAGAGTCTGCGACGTTAGTCCTGACGCCGTGAGGCAGCGGCGGAGGTAGCCTTCAAGGAGGCGCGTGGGGCTGAGGTAAGACGACAGCGACATATATCTACTCTACTTCTACCTTTCTTGGCTTCTTGTCAGAAAGAGAAGTTGAGAAATGATACAATTGAGTTTGATGTTGTTTTTAGTCAAATGTATAGCAACATCTCTAAGTGGAAAAAAATATTTTAATAATTATTTGTTTCCATTTTTTCCACATACAAAAAAATAAACTATACTAGTAGCTTAAAATTGTGTTTACTCCCTCATCTCTACAATAATGAGTTCTGATTCCATGAAAAAACTAATTATGCAATTATGTCAAAATTCGTTAGACGTTTTTGTAAATTAAAATGTTAACCAGTAATTTAATTAATAATACTAAACCGAAAATAAAAGTGGTATCCAATAACCGGTTGCTAACCATCTTGTACCCGCCTTAAAAGCCTTACAAACCAACTTAGGTCTTCTAGTTTCCCCCCCCCCCCATGAGTTTCTTGCTTCGCAAGATTACACCCTCAACTTTAAAAGGTTACATTTTTAACCCACAATGCAAGCAACCATCAAATCGATCTCTTTCTCCTTTCATAGATCTCCTAAACTTAACTATCTCCTCTCTCCTTTGCGTCTTACTTCCGCTTCGCCATTTTGTTCTTCCTCTTCTTCGTCACAATGGTTCAGCTTTCTTCGCGATGCAATCTCCACGTCGGATTTGAGGCTCGGGAAATGCACACACGCACGTATCTTAGCCTTAGAGGAAAGCCCAGAACGATTCCTTGTCAACAATCTCATCTCAATGTACTCAAAGTGTGGATCACTCAGTTATGCTCGCAACGTGTTCGATAAAATGCCTGAAAGAGATCTCGTTTCCTGGAACTCGATTTTAGCTGCTTATGCGCAGTCTGCCGAAGGTGTTATCGAGAATATTGAAGAAGGGTTTCTTCTTTTTAGGATTTTAAGGCAGAACGTTGTGTTTACTAGTCGAATGACTCTGGCTCCGGTGTTGAAACTCTGTTTGTATTCTGGGTATGTGTGGGCTTCAGAGGCGGTTCATGGGTATGCTTGCAAGATTGGTTTGGATAATGATGAGTTTGTTTCTGGAGCTCTTGTTAATATATATCTGAAGTTTGGTAAGGTTAAGGAAGGTAGGGTTTTGTTTGAACAGATGCCTTATAGAGATGTTGTGTTATGGAACGTAATGTTGAAGGCTTATCTTGATATGGGTTTTAAAGAAGAAGCTGTTGAACTCTCTTCTGCATTTCATAGAAGTGGCTTGGATCCCAATGGTACCACCTTGCGTCTACTCGATAGAGTGTCTAGTGATGTTTCTGAAGGAGGACAAGTGAAGTCCCTTGCAAATGGTCATAATGATGCTTCAGAAATAAGATCCAAGAACCAAATATTGACTAAATATCTCAAGGCAAGCAAGCATTCAGCTCTTCTCCAATGTTTTGCGGATATGGTTGAGTCTAACTTGGAATGTGATGATGTTACATTTATTTTGGTGTTAGCGACAGCTGTTAGGTTAGATAGCTTAGCATTAGGGCAGCAAGTTCATTGTATGGCATTGAAGTTAGGATTTGATTTGATGCTCACTGTGGCGAATAGTGTAATAAACATGTACTGTAAGCTGAGAAAAGTGGGCTTTGCTAGGACAGTATTTCACAGTATGAGTGAAAGAGATTTGATTTCGTGGAATTCAGTTATCTCCGGTTTTGCTCAAACTGGCCTAGAAGTGGAAGCAGTGCGTCTGTTTATGCAGCTGTTACGTTGTGGCTTCACACCAGACCATTATACCATGACTAGTGTTCTAAAGGCAACGTCGTCTCTCTCTGAAAGCTTGTCGTTGAACAAACAAGTTCATGTTCATGCGATTAAAACCAATAATGTTACCGACAGTTTTGTCTCTACTGCTCTGATTGACGCCTACTCTCGGAACAAGTGTATGAAAGAGGCAGAGATTTTGTTCGAGAGGAACGATTTCGACCTCATCGCTTGTAATGCCATGATGTCTGGTTATAACCAAAGTAATGACGGCCACAAGACTTTGAAGCTCTTCGCATTGATGCATAAGCAGGGAGAGAGATCCGATGATTTCACACTTGCAACAGTGCTTAAGACATGTGGTTCCTTGTTTGAGGCAAATCAAGGAAAGCAAGTTCATGCTTATGCAATCAAGTCCGGATACTACTTAGACCTATGGGTCAGCAGTGGAGTTTTGGATATGTATGTAAAATGTGGCGATATAAGAGCAGCACAGTTTGCTTTCAATAGTATTCCTGTCCCCGACGATGTTGCTTGGACTACTATGATATCAGGATGCATAGAAAATGGAAAAGAAGAGCGAGCTTTTCATGTTTATAGCCAGATGAGGCTCATGGGAGTGTTGCCTGATGAATTTACAATAGCCACACTTGCGAAGGCAAGCTCTTGCTTGACGGCATTAGAGCAAGGCCGGCAAATCCACGCAAACGCCCTCAAGCTGAATTGCACAGGTGATCCGTTCGTTGGAACTTCACTAGTAGACATGTATGCTAAGTGTGGAAGTATAGACGACGCATATTCTTTGTTTAAAAGAATCGAAATGAGGAACATCGCTGCCTGGAACGCAATGTTAGTAGGATTAGCTCAACATGGGGAAGGGAAAGAAGCGCTTCAGCTTTTCAAACAGATGAAATCTTTGGGTATAAGACCTGACAAGGTCACATTTATCGGTGTTCTCTCTGCTTGCAGCCACTCAGGCTTAGTATCCGAGGCCTACAAGCATATCGAATCAATGCATCGAGACTATGGAATAAGGCCTGAGATAGAACACTACTCTTGTTTAGCTGATGCGCTTGGCCGTGCTGGACTTGTTCGAGAGGCTGAAAAATTGATTGAGTCAATGTCCTTGGAAGCTTCAGCGTCCATGTACAGAGCTCTCCTTGCAGCTTGCAGAGTTCAAGGGGATACAGAAACAGGGAAGAGAGTGGCAACTAAGCTTTTGGAGCTAGAGCCATTAGATTCATCAGCTTATGTGCTCTTATCTAACATGTATGCTGCTGCTTCCAAATGGTCTGAGATGAAACTCGCCCGGACAATGATGAAAGGTCAGAAAGTGAAAAAAGACCCGGGTTTCAGCTGGATCGAGGTGAAAAACAAGATCCATCTATTTGTTGTGGATGATAGATCAAACCCTCAAAGTGAATTGATATACGAAAAAGTAAAAGATGTGATCAGAGACATCAAACAAGAAGGGTATGTTCCTGAGACAGATTTCACACTTGTAGATGTGGAGGAAGAGGAGAAAGAACGTGCACTGTACTACCACAGCGAGAAGCTAGCGGTTGCTTTTGGGCTTATGAGCACTCCTCCATCAACACCTATCAGGGTGATCAAGAATCTTCGTGTATGTGGAGATTGCCACAATGCGATGAAGTACATAGCAAAGGTGTATGAAAGAGAGATTATACTGAGAGATGCAAACCGGTTTCACCGTTTCAAGGATGGTAAATGCTCATGTGGTGATTTTTGGTAGAAGACACAGATAAGTTTTTTGCTTACTACAGATCATTCATGTTCTAACTCAATGATTGTCAATACATTATATAAATCAAGTTACATTGCATTATCTGAAAAAAATGAAACCTAATCCATAAAGAGAAAAGCTAAAACTTTAAACTGTTGCTTCAATCCGAGGCTGGAACGAAAGAGCAGAAACGAACTCCACAGCTTCTCCATCCTTCTTGAAGCATTTTGGCAACTCACTCCACTGCTCTGCAACTAAATCATACACAAAGTATCTACAATACACCTCAGGAGGACTCGTGTTGAAGCACACAAGTATCTTGTTTCCAGCTCCTCCAACACAGTTTATATCGCCATTTCTCCCATACAACTCATGAGACATCGCAGGAGGCAACATCCCAACATGAACCCAACTCTGGTTCTCTAGCTTCCAGATCCTCAAGCTGGCGCTTTCGTAGAACTCAGAGAGAAGAACCACAAACATGGTTCCATTACATTCCACCAAGTCGATGGAATACTCAAGAAACGGAGGAAGAAGCTTAGGTAGCTCAGTGAAGCATCTATTGGTGAGATCACAAGCTATGATGGTTCCATAAGAGCTGAGAAAGTAAACAGTCTCTACATTGTCTTTAACGGTTATAACAGAAGAGTATTGCTTAGAAGGACTTCTCTGTAGATTGTTACTCGCTACAACCACGTGTCCTGTCTTGCTAAGAAAGTAGACAGTTCCAGTAACATCATCATCATCGTTGTACTCATCTCCATTGTTTGTTTTCACTAAGTTAAACTCTTTACTCCATAAACCGGAATCTGATTCGTAGAACCTGAAACAGAGGTTTGGGCATTCTCCAGAGACTGTAACGAGTTTGTAGCTAGAGGGAGTGAGAGCACTCATGGCTACAGCTTGGAGAGGCTTCTTGTTATCTGGAAAGATTGGAGAAGGAAGCTCCCGAGAAGATCCAGTGATGGGATTACAGAGGAGGAAGTCTCCAGAAACAGAGCAGAAAAGACAGAGCAAACCACCAGAGGAAGCTACAGGGATGAAATCATCACGAAGGTTGCGGTTTTTGAGGTTTCTCCAGTTGTTATCTGTTGAGTCGTATACGAAAGTCGAAGACTTGGGATCGTTAGGGACCATGAAGAACCAGGGGTCTCGAAGAGGGACTTGGGAGCAAGCAAGGTTGAAGCTTTTTGAGGTTTTGGTTGATTTCCATCTCTTGCAGACGGAAGTCATGCGGAAGAAAGAGGAAGTTGGGAGCCATGAGAGGACTCTCTCGAGGACGTCTTCGCTGAGTTCATCCATGGGGAAGTGTGGAGAAGCTAAGGTTACTGTGTAGTCTTGTTCGTCTCTTGATTTTCTTTTCCTGTCTGAGAATCCCATGTTTTAAGGCTTTAAGATGAAAGTTTGGAGCTTTTGGAGTTTTAGGGTACTTTGGAATTCGATTTCCAGGAAAAGGATTGAATTTGAGGTTTTAGTAAATGCAGAGAAAGCAGAGTATGGAGTCTTTGTGAGGAAAGAGATGATTGTTTTGTTAAAGTTGAGATGCAGAGAGATAGAGAAGTGAGAGAGATATAGTGGTGAAGGAGACTAATCTTTGGTAGATGTGTTTTTTGTTGTTTTTAAAGAGAGGAGATTTGTAGCGCCAGAGGAGAGAGAGAGTGAAAAGGAAGCTTCTTGGGGCACCTCTTTCAGAGAGCGTTGACAATCCACAAAGATACTGTGGGGGAAGAGGACAAACAAAAGTGAAACATTGTGTTGTTTGTATAGATAGCTTCTTGTTCACTGTTCTACCACTACCCCCAATAAAATATATTTTTTAATCAAATATGAAATATTAACTGTGTCTATACAGAAATATAAAAACAATAGTCAAATAAATCAACTCTTCAGAATAGTCACTGCATATGACTATGAGTCTATGACTACTTGTGATTTGTTAGCTTATATACTAGTGATTTTGCCTTTCACTGTTTGGATGTAATGTGTGTTTGTGCTTTGTATGTTGTAAAAATACTTGTAAAGAAAAGTTTGGTGGAGTGGGACAAAAAAACACAATAGCACATCAACTAACTCCTTTTATAATTAGCTGGAGAGTGGCTTAACCTGCTACAAGATTTGACAAGAGTTATGTAACGATTGTCTTTTGTTTTTGAGCCATAAGTCATATGTTTAGACTTGATTGGAAGAATTATGTTTGGAAACATCACATAAACATGAAGTAAAAAAAAAGCTGTGACTCTTGTTTATCATTCAGATGGTAATGAAATGGAACAAGATTTATATTCTTATTTTTCTTAAAACCAAAACAAGATTTATCATTCTTCCAAAATTATGTCCCTTGCATGTAATGTAACCCGAATTTTCGTTTGCTTAATGAGAGTTTGTAAAACATTAAAGATATATCACTAACTAAGACTAATAGTAAAGAGGAACATAGAAGAATAATTTCTAAAAAGAAACATAGAAGAATTAGCGCACGAAGAGAGTGGACATGGAAGCAAAAGCAAAAGAGAAAGTTAGTTAGGGATTTTAGGACTTAGGAGCTGTCTTTCTTCTCTTCTCTAATACAGAGACTTACTACTATCAAAACTCAAAAGTGTCGATTCGTGTGAGTTGTCTTCTTTACCTTTTTTTTTTCTTTTTCTTTTAAACAGTTTTACCTTTCGAATAAGAAATTTAATAAAGTAACTACTTTTTCTTTTGCTCGTGTTTTCTCTCATTTATAAAAAAATAATTTATTCTTGTAACTGTACAAATACAAGTTTTAAAATCAAAATACCACAAGACAAATAAATCTTGGCATCAAGTCACATTTGTCTTTACCATTTGTCAAACTTAGCAAGCTTTTTATATCCATGCATGCTATTGTACGGGAAAGTGAATCTAGTATAGTTTAGCTCGTAGTACCCGATGTTATTTGAGTCATGGAATTTTGCCAAATTAAGGGATTTTAAAGTATATAAAATAATTTTGAACAAACGAAAAAAATATATAAAATAACATTTTCATCTTCATAAATATTTTAATAGAAAAATAATAAACAAATCATGGACATGCAAAAACAATTTTAATTAAGAAAATTTCAGGTTCACCCTCCTCTACCTTTCCAACATAAATATTTTGTTGAGTGTTCAGACTACAAATTTACAAGTGATACATATGCAAATTCACAAAAATTGTATAAAGTATAAACAGAAAGAAAAACATTCTTTATTTGTGAGAAAATTTTATAAAATTTTTATTTATATAAAAGAATAGAGATAGGTGTAAGAAAAGCAAAAGGATAGGACCACCATTAACTTTGTAGCCTCGTTGAGGAATCTCTTCTCGCATCGACTTTTGTGCCCATTGCAAAGTCAATGCCCAGAACTTGTTCCCAGGCCATGTCCAATTAAAATATAACAAAAACTTTGAAAATAGAACTATTATAAACCTGACTGGTCGACGAAAACCTAACTGGTCGCTGCACAGATATCAATGATACCAAGACAAAATCTCAGGTTTCACATTCTCTTTTCAGATAATTAATTAGATTACTCTCGTAAATTCATTTCCTGAAACTATACGAATGTTACGTACAAGCCTGCAAACGTATCTATCAAAATGTGTCGTACAAAGATGTTTAATGTGAAAGAGGCAAAGACATTCTCCTCCCTTGATTCCTAACTTGAACATATGCCATATTGAACATGGGCCGGTTTAAAGACAGCAGCTGAAGCCCAATATCTGCAAATGTGATTGTACTTAAATAGAATCCATCATCACAATCAGAAGCCCAACACTTTTTAACTTTTAGCAAAATTTACTTGATTTCACCCAATTTTTTCTGGAAAAAAGTTTCTCACCTACACGAAGTTTACACTCGTATGGTGGAAACCATCCAATGTATAAAAATGCGTCAAGAACTACACGAAGTATATGTTAATACATGCCACATTTACGAAGTAAATGATATTATGGTGGCAACATCACAATCAGATTTAATTGTTCTTAAGCAAAGTTAATGGGGTCAATCCGTAATTTATGAAACTTAATAAACTTAATTGATTTTAATTATTAAAGTTAATAAAATTAATAAACTTAATAAACATAATATTTTTTAAAACTTAATAAAATTAATAAACTTAATATTTTTGGTTAAACTTAATAAATTATTAAACTTAATAAATTTATTAAACTTAATAAAATTATTAAACTTAATAAAATTATTAAACTTAATAAACTTAACAAACTTAATAACTTATAAACTTAATAAGTTATTAAACTTAATATACTTAGCAAACTTAATAAACATAATAATTTATTAAACTTATTAAACTTAATAAATTTATTAAATTATTTTGTTTATTAGTTATAGGATTCTAGCTTATTAAACATAATAATTTTTAAAAACTTAATAAACTTTATAAACTTAATAAGATTTATTAAACTTAATAAGATGTATTAAACTTAATTAATTATTAAGTTTGTTAAGTATATTAAGTTTAATAACTTATTAAGTTTATAAGTTATTAAGTTTGTTAAGTTTATGAAGTTTAATAATTTTATTCAGTTTAATAAATTTATTAAGTTTATTAAGTTTATTAATTTTATTAAGTTTTAAAAAATATTATGTTTATTAATTTTATTAACTTTAATAATTAAAATCAATTAAGTTTATTAAGTTTCATAAATTACGGATTAACCCTATTAACTTAGCTTAAAAACAATTAAATCCAATTGTGATGTTGCCATTATAATATCATTTACTTCGTACATGTGGTATGTATTAACATATACTTCGTATAGTTCTTGACACATTTTTATACATTGGATGGTTTCCACCATATTAGTGTAAACTTTGTGTAGCTGAGAAACTTTTTCTCTTTTTTTTTTCATATGTCCTTGGTATTATTTTCGTATCAACTTAAGTGGTAGCTACATAGATAAAAAAGATTCATGAATCAGACATGTGAACCACCCTGTAAACTGTTCAAGCCTAATACTAAAAAGTCATGATAAAACCAAAAAAAGATAGACGTAAAGAACACGGAATGTGTGGTAATCGTCGTGATCTAAATGTAGCAAGTAAGTAACGTCTTCACTCTTCTCTTGTCTCTTTCTCTTCTTCTGAAACACGTAATACACTTTTTTCATTGGAGACAGACTCCTCCGGTCCTATCCTGTATCCCCATCCACGTAATTGGTAGTGACGACGTTGTCACTTTCCTTTTATTTTTTTTGCTTGAGATAGTAGTTTATTATTATTTCCTTTTGTTTAGTGCATTTGTCACTGTCTATTTGCATTATTTAATAGAGTTGAATTGACGTGTCGATCATAGCGAAACATGTTGAAATATTTGCAATACAAAAATGATATGTCCACACATGTTCTAAATATACACATGTCGTCGAGATTAAGACTTTTGATAATCTATTACTCTGTACTAATATCAATATCATAAAAAGTAGTCCTAGTAATTTTGAACTTGGACAGTGTTTTTTTTTTTGTAAGAGATGAATTTGTAGAGTTTATAAATATTAGTTATAAATTTTAACTATTTATTTGGATATGCCTAGAGGCTAAATCATTTTAACTTTTTTATTGTCATAATCTTTAAGGAAAAAGGTTTAAGCTAAATCATTTACGTAATCGTAGCTTATAAAATGACGTAAAAAGGAACAAACTTGTTAACTGCGCCTAAACTCACATGTGGAAAAAAAGGTTCCATCTTTCATAAACCAGTTCACAGGCATTGCATGATCAAAGCCATCGTTTTAGGTACGTTCTTGATTCCGTTTTACCATTACTTACCTGTCGTAAATGAGCTTCGAGAGCTTCTAAACTCCATTCTTGCTCTGCGATATTAAACTATAGTTTGATCTGTGCTCCTCTGTTCTTCTCTGCTCTGTTTCAGCTCTGTTTTGAGTCACCAACTAATCGACCAAGATTTCATTTTTATTCTCGCAATTATGTTCATTTCTGTACGATTTCAAACCCAAGAGCTCCTGAGAAAAACTATTGATGAGAAACATCCCACATCGGAAATATATGAATTAATCTACTACTATATAAAGGGTTGGAGCCAATCCACTAATCACCAATTGGTTTTAAGTTGGAAGCCCATAACAAACCCGAATCTAACATGGTATCAGAGCGATAAGATCCTTTGACCTAATTTACTACAACTACTACTACACCGATGTTGAGCCCTCTGTGGATGTTATTCCCACATTGTCCACGCTTCAGACCTAGATGGCTGAGCGTGAGGGAGGGTATTGATGAGAAACATCCCACATCGGAAATATATGAATTAATCTACTACTATATAAAGGGTTGGAGCCAATCCACTAATCACCAATTGGTTTTAAGTTGGAAGCCCATAACAAACCCGAATCTA